CCCTCTTCAGCAGGCACTGCCACACAAGTGGCCTGGTGTGGAATCCACACATCTATCCGGCTGTGAGGTGTGAGGATTTCTCGGGGTATAAACCTCATAGAAGTGGCCGCTCAGGCACTCACTGTGGCCACATGCTGAGGACCCCTGGCCGTGAGCCTCATGTCCCTCCATGCCCGCCTCCCGCTCACGACTTTGTGCTTTGCTGCCTTGGTGAATGGCATTCTTTCCTGCCTGCCACATGGGTATTCCCGAACCTTTCACCCATTTCAGATGAGCACGTCCAGGAACATTTTTATTCCCACGCATGACCCTGAAGGACAGGTAACATGGGAAGCCTTTTATAATACTAGTTCTGGGAGGGAAAGGGAAATTTCAACCCCCCAAGGGCTCGTAAGCAGGTGTGCTGAAAGTCTGATGCCACTAAGTTGTGCTGTCTCAACCGGACCCACGTAGTTTAGGTTGGTTAATAAAAACGAAGGCTCTTGATTTACTTTTTTTAAACTGACAAGCGGAGCCCAGGACGGTCAAGTGGGTTAAGAATATTCCAGTGATTCATATCAGAGCCCTGCCATTGTATGGTCCACACAGAGTGCCACTAGAGCAGGCCCGGCCACCTATCTGCACATTTATGGAAACACGTAACCCTACTAATCAGCAGCTCACTGAGCTTCTCACTTGCCCGCAGGCCGAAGAGAAGGTGTTTGTGGGGTCAGACGTATGTTTTCCTCAGTTGTGTTAGTGGGTGAGTCAGAGTGCTGTGGTGTAGGCAAGAGGCAGGAATTCTGGATGACCCAAGAGGAGGGGGATTTTTTAGCAGCTCTCTGGTGTTCCCAGATTGACAGGGAGCCTGAAGAAACGGGCATGGAGGCAGGTGGAAACCAAGACCGCTCCAGAGTGAGGAAGCCTGTGGTCTGGGAATGATGCCATAGCTCTAATGGTCTGGATAAGGCAAGGTTGCCACCCTTGGGTCACTCAAGAGTCACGGCCTTGAGAAGAGGCATCCAGTTGGTTGGGTTTTTATCGCGGATATGCCATAGGAGAAAATAGTATCCAGTCTCTCAGCTTCTGTGACAGCAGGTGGATAGTCCCACCCAAACTACACGCGGGGGAAAGAGTTATTTCCCAAAAAAAGAAATCAGACTGCTAATTAGGAAAAGGGAACAGATGCTAGGTAGACAAACAATCAGCCACTGTTTCTTTCCTTTGAAATACGGAAACTCACTTGAAACAAACAAAACTGAGCAATAGCTTCTCTCTGAAAGAGGGTGTCCAGTTATCTGTAGTGAAATGATTGTGTATTTACAATGAGACCTTAATTTTATGGGACTTCTGGCAGAGGTGATGTCTAATATGAGCCAAGGGAATATCCGAAGGGGTGCTTGTGTGGCTTAGTTGGTTGAGCGTCTGACTTCGACTCACGTTGTGACTTCATGGTTCATGAGTTCGAGCCCTGCATGGGGCTTGCTGCTGTCAATCCAGAGCCCGCTTCGGATCTTCTGTCCCCCTTTTTCTGCCCCTCCCCCACTTTCTCTCTCTCCCTCAAAAATAAAAAAAAAAATGAATAAAAAAAAAGAATATCTGAAACTGCTACTAGCTGTCTTGCTCAGTTTGGTTATGCAGACTCGATTCTTTCTTTTTCTTTTTATTTTTTTAATTTTTTTTTCAACCTTTATTTATTTTTGGGACAGAGAGAGACAGAGCATGAACGGGCGAGGGGCAGAGAGAGAGGGAGACACAGAATCGGAAACAGGCTCTAGGCTCTGAGCCATTAGCCCAGAGCCCGACGCGGGGCTCGAACTCACGGACCGCGAGATCGTGACCTGGCTGAAGTCGGACGCTTAAGCGACTGCGCCACCCAGGCGCCCCGATTCTTTCTTTTTAAAAAAAATTTTTAATGTTTATTTATTTTTGAGAGAGAGACAGAGCACAAGTGGGGGAGGGGCAGAGAGAGAGGGAGACACAGAATATGAAGCGGGTTCCAGGCTCTGAGCTGTCAGCACAGAGCCTGTTGCGGGGTTCAAACCCACGGCCTGCAAGTTCGTGACCTGAGCCGAAGTCGGGTGCTTGCTTACCAGACTGAGCCACCCAGGCACCCCAGACTTGATTGTTTCTGTGGAGAGAAAGTAACATGGAGTATTTATACAGTGAATCTGAATCAAATTAGGTAAGGCAGGCTTCGTAAACCTTCTTAGTTGTGTGTGTGGGGGGGGTCTTCGGCCATTTTCTCCTGTCAAAAGATAATAGGGGGCGATTAGCGCTTCAGGTATGAGAAGGGTGGCACAGAACCTCTGTGTGATTCATCAGCATCTACAGAGGATGTGTTTCCCATGAGCATATGCCCACCATCCTGCACATGCAGCCAGTTGCATTGTCCTGGGGAGAGCGTGTCAGGTGACATCATTCAGTGGGCTGTTTGCTTTGCTGTGGCCTCTCTTGCCACTTGCGTTCTTCTAAACAGAGTTGAACCCCGATGGCTGAAAAAGGTCTACCGTGATCACGCTGGACCAAAGACACGGGTCCTGCTGGACCACATTTTAAGTTTTCCAACGGCTCAGGCCCCCCCGAGGACATATGGCCGGACAAACCCAGGGAAGAGTTCCGCGGGCAGTTAGGAATTGGTGGAAGTCCTTTCACGTTGTGGAAGAGATCACAGTTATCGTGACAGCCTCGGAAGACTGAGCCCAGTTCCATGATCAGGAGCTGGGTAACTGCACGTGGAGGCATGTTGTGACTTCCGGGAATTGGAAAGAATGGAGGAAGTGTGACGGCCAAGGCACAGCCTGCCCTTTCTCCAGAAGGAGGAGGGAGGAGGTCCGGACAGAAGACAAAGCCTGCCTCAAGGAGCTGCTCTTTCCCCACTGGTTTCTCGGACGATTAACTCGGCTTTTTATATGTGCAGAGCAAGTCAGCATGGTTTTAGGAGAAGGGAAGTCCGTCTCTGTAGTATTCAGCACGATTTTGTGGTGGCAGGAGGTATTCCATTAGAACTCTTGGTGGCTACACCACAGATAACATTCTCCATGCCTCTTTGCATGTAATCCTAGTAATAAAGGGCTTGGCCAATATTTTATTGATTATTGAGAATGATGAATAATCACAGCTGTGTTTGCTGGGGAGCTTCTGGGGAAAGATAATTAGAAACATATTATTTTTCATGGCAATGAAACAATTGTCGTGTTAGTTTTTCAGGAATTCCTCTAAAAAGAGTGATTCTCTTTAAAGAAAGGTTTCTAAAATAGAGACCGCAATGCAATGCTAAAATTAATGATCTGCTGGGACAGCAGAGAAATCACTTTGTGAGAGGTACTGTTCGTAATGAAAAGCTAAAACATAAGAATAGTTGCTACAGTTAGGCACCCCTACCTCCAGAAAATTTGGCTTCAAGGGGTGGGCACACTGAATAGAGGCCAGCAGTTGGGTTCCTCTCATATTCTCCGGCTTCTTAATATGAGAAATGTGCATTTTAATACAAGTTTATAAAGTATTCTAAAAATTATTAAAGTCTGTGTCAGTAAAACAGGATTGAAATGGAAGTGACCCAGTTATTTGTTTCATGTGCAATATAGCTTCTTCTAAAAAATAGAGAAATGTGGAAAAAGTATTCCACAGTCTTAGACAACTCAATCTTTTAATTATGGCTCTCTAGACACAGCCTAGGATAGATTCTTTGTAAAATCAAACGTTAAAAGAGCGTCAATTTTATGCCTATGACCTAATATATTCCTCTAGGATAGAATCATGGGGAAATTCTTTCACACTTCTATTAATACATGATTCTTACGTTTCTCAAGCTTTAACGTAAGGACATAAAACTCAGAACATCTTAGCATGGTAAAGGGATCAATGAATGACAGAGGGGCACCAGTTAGCAGACTGTTGCAATAATTTGAGCAAATGGGGAAAGTGAGTCCTTAGACTGTCACTGATTTTTGAAAGAAAATAAGATTTGCTAGTAGATTTTAGTAAGCGTAAGAGAGAGAAGTCAAAGATGACTCCAAGATTTTTACTCTGAGTAGATAGAAGAAGGCATTTGCCATTTACTGTCATAAAGAGGGCTGTAAGAAGAGGTGGTTTTCAAAGAGAGATCAAGAATTTGGTTTTGAACTCCGAAGCCTGAGATGCCTTTGAGACTTCCAAGGGCAGATGCCAAGGAGTCAGATGAATAAGAGTCTGCATGTAGGCAAGAGGTCTGGGTTAGAGATAGAAAACCGTGAGTTATCAGTGTGTACATGGTATTTATTTATTTTTAATTTTTTTTTCAACGTTTATTTATTTTTGGGACAGAGAGAGACAGAGCATGAACGGGGGAGGGGCAGAGAGAGAGGGAGGCACAGAATCGGAAACAGGCTCCAGGCTCCGAACCATCAGCCCAGAGCCCGACGCGGGGCTCGAACTCACGGACCGCGAGATCGTGACCTGGCTGAAGTCGGACGCTTAACCGACTGCGCCACCCAGGCGCCCCTGTACATGGTATTTAAAGACTTGAAAGTGAGGAAAGATGAAAAGGGGCTGTGAACAGAGACTCCTGGGCTGTGCCAACATTCAGAGGTCAGACAGATGCACAGCGGCCAGAGAGGGAGGGGGACAGTCAAGGGAGAGTGGGGTCCCAGTAGACAAGAAAAGAATGTTGTTCAAGAAGAAAGGAGTAATCACCTCTGTGATTGCTCCTGAAAAGTTGAGGAGGATAAAAACTGAGAAATAGGGCAACCAACTGTCCTGATTTGCCCAGGCCTCTCCGTGTCTTAGCACTGAAAATCCTGTGTTCTAAGGGAGTGCTTAATGCGAAGCAAATGCCAAGCATTTCTCCTACCAGGGAGAAATGGCCATTGGGCTTATTGGTCATGAATGTTAAGGTAAGAAAAGTTTGTGTGGAATAGTGGGGACAAAAAAACCTGGGCGGGGTTGGTTTTATTGTTACACAATATATATTACAATGGTGTTACCTCATTGTTCTTACCTATTATTAAAGTTATGTAAGAAAATTTTTCATGTCTTTACAGATGCATTTCAAAATATTGAACAGTGAAATGTCATGTTATCTGTGATTGCTTTGAAATACTTCAGCAAGGGAAAAAAAGAATGAAGCAAGTAAGTATCGCATTCATAATTATTAAATTTGGGTGATGTGATTATGGAGTTCATTATAATATTCTTTATTTTTATGTACGATTGAAAACTGTCACGGTAAATTGTTTCTAAGTTAGATAAAGCGAATGGGAAAAAAGGAATTAGAGACAGCAGGAATACACAAATTTTTTCAAGCGTTTTGCTCTAAAGGAGAGTAAAGAAACGGGCAGTGCCTGGATTGGTCTCTGGATTTTGTTTTTGTTTTGTTTTGAGATGGGAGAAGTTACAGAAGGTTTGGATACTAATACGGGAACATAGATGAGGCAGGCAGGGTGAAGCAAATACAGGGGTGCTGACGTTGAGTAGGGAGAAGGGATGGGGCTAACGGCACCCAAGTGGAGGGCTCCGTGTTGGAGATGATAATGCTGAGCTCATTCACGGTCAATAGGAGGATGGCAGAAGGAATGGGTTACAGGGGCAGGTAGAGTGGGTGTGCTGGTGGGAGGGGATGCCCTTGTGTTCTGATGGCTTTGGTTATTTCCATGAAGGAAGAAGCAAGGTCAAAGGCTGGGGGAGCTTGGAAGTTTAAGGAGCGAGGAAGAAGTGAGAAAGAGTTTTCCAGGAGCGTGTGAGAGAGGGACGAAGTTCCCTGGAGGAATGCAACAAGATCCTCAGGTAGCATTAATGGCCTATCTCCGGTGGAAACTGGTCAGTAAGTGGAGACGTTGCTTGGGGTGGGGGGTGACCTGCAGGCACTCACCTTCCCACAATGACTGCATGCATTTCCAATGCGCTGCCTCAGGGCTTTGTTCTGGCTGTGGGAGCACTTGCTGCCTACACACTGCGTAATCAGGGTGCGCTAAAGACTTACTGTGCCTCTGAAGCAGTTCTCAACCCATGACGGACCGGGCTTTGGTGGATAAATACGCCAGCTCCCACAGCATTCAGCTGGGGTGGTTTTCAGGCATGTTCAACATATTGGGCAGCATTCCCCACTGGGATTCCCCAGTTGTCCACAGAGATAATTTGCTTAGTAGTAATCCTTTATTGGTTTTCTTTCATCCCCTGTCTTACTTCCTGACCCTTCTGATGTTTCTTAGGATCATCTCCCAAAAAACCATTTGTGCTGCAATCCTTGTCTAAGATATTTCTCATTGGAAAATAAAATCTAAAAGAGTATGGCATGTTTTACGTGCTTGAGAGCAGATGATCAGTGGGTGGAGAATTGGATTTAACAGGGTTGGGTTTTTTCCTGTTGAGCCCTAAGCAAGGTGAGGGGGAAGGGAGTTAGGATGTGCGACAGATCATGGGCTCTGTGCTGGGTAAGGAGGGAGGTGACGCTATGTGGCAGAGGAAAGGTGGTAAGAAGGGATGTAAGTTGGGGATCCTGGTGGATTCCAGGACATTGAATCATGGCAGGAGTGATGTTGCAGAGAGAGATCATGAGCCTGGGGCAGAATCTTCAAGGAATGACCTGGAGGCCATAGTCTGATGTTTGAAGGAGAAGAGACAGTCCTCTGGAAAGGAAGAAGACATCTGTCCCTGCTCCAGAACCCCTGAGGGAGCTGTAGGGAAGCAGTTCCCTCAGAGGGGATCAGGCTCCCACCTGAAGCAGAAGGTGAAGGAACGTTTAGAGGAGAAGTAGAGGATTTGGGGGATTCTATTGATGATTGGCTGTGCATTCCAGAGAGCACTGGGTGAAGGTGTCTGGGAGTGTGCAAGGTGGGGAGTTGGGGGGATATACTTGGCTCAAGCGGGAATATACCTGGCTCTGTGGGGATGAGTCCAAGCGAGAGGGCCGTTGGGGACATCTGGCTTCTTGGGGTGATGGGTAAGCACCCAGGCAATAAATGTAGATGTAGGCATCATGGGCTTCGCTCTGGCCATCTCTCAGATGTGGAGGCGAGACGAAGGGCTGTGGGGAAAGGAGGCAGGCCATCAGGAAACACGAGGGACTCTGCAGGAATGCCTCTAGCCCACTGAGCCCCAACTCGCCCTGTGGTTCAGCCTGTGGAGTTTGGGACGCAGTGATGTTCTTGTCAGGAAAAGGAGGGAAATCAAAGAATCAAGGCAAAAGGCAAGCATCTCATATCAGGGAAAATTAGAAGGAGGCCTGTCAGAGGCACCTGGGTGGCTCAGTCATTTGAGCCTCTGACTTGAGCTTAGGTCATGATCTCATGCCTCATGAGTTTGAACCCCACGTTGCGCTTGCTGCTGTCAGTGCAAGAGCTCACTGCAGATCTTCTGTCCCTCTCTCTCTCTCTCTGCCCCTTCCCTTCTTGTTCTCTCTCTCTCACAAATAAATACATCTTAAAAAAGGAAGGAAGGAAGGAAGGAAGGAAGGAAGGAAGGAAGGAAGGAAGGAAGGAAAAAAGGAAGGAAGGAAGGAAGGAAGGAAGGAAGGAAGGAAGGAAGGAGGAAGGAGGAAGGAGGGAGCCTGTCAGGTCTCAGACCTGATAAGGTGAAGGCAGGAGCATTCTAAAAACCAACAAGGGGCAGGGAGGCTTGGGGCTGTAAAAATGCCAGTACGTTTACTGGTGGATCAGTTTACTGTCTCCTTTGGTCATTCTGCAAATTTTCCAGGGGCAGAAAACTTGTCATGTGAAATAGAGTTTTGTTTTTTATGAGTTTTTGGGATTGCTGATCAGTGTTTACTAAGACGTGGAACTTTTCTTTTGATAGCAATCGGAATGAAAAATAGAATTACTAATTGCTTTCCAATCATTTCTCAAAAACTTGTGAGCATATTACCAGCCCTCAGAACTAGTCTTACTGGACCCATAAAGAGACCCAGGTACCTGACTGAGCCCTCTACAATGTACCCTGGTGCTGCCTTCTTTAGGAGGAGGCTGGAGCCCTAACTCCACACCTGCTTCTATGCAAAGCCCACCCTGACCCGCTCATCCCACCAGCCCCTTGTCGTGTGAAGGTCTCTGTTGGCTCTCATACCACCCAGTGTTGCTCTTGGGCACTCCCTGAAAGCAACCTTTAGTTCTTTTGCCTGAGCCTCACATCTCTACACGAGATGGTATCTCATCGTCCCTCAAGGGACCTGTTATTTTGAGTCACGCACATTGTCTGGCACACATTGCCTGGTGTGTAGGTATTCAGTGAAAATTTGTTGCATGGAAACCAAATGAATGAGTGAATTTATTTAGTTCTTGAGGACCTCCCAGGTTTCGAACATTGTCGTGGGTACTGAGGAAATGGTTATAAATAAAGGAAATGAAAATCTCTGCCTTGTGGGTCTTACCTTCCAGAGGGGAGAAGACAATGTGTATAATGGTGTGAAGCCTTGGTTCCTGGGTAGGCAGCAAAGCTGAACTTCAAGGTGAAGTGAAGCTTAATGACTGATCACTGGGAGCCTGCCATGTGCCAATTGTTATAAGCACGCTATCAAACCTTACCCGCCGATGTGGGGTAGGTAGTGTTGATCCTGGTCTTGGAGATGTGCAATCTGAGGCTCAAAGTGGTGAGTTTCCCAAGATAAATGGTGGTAAATGTACAGAGCAGGGATTTGAGCACAAGTCTCTCGGATTTGGGGGCACATGTTCCTAACCACTGCACTGCACTGCCTTTCGCTTTCTATTGAATCCCAGCAGGGGCATTTATATTGAGAGAGTAGGGGCACTGGTGAATTCGGCATTTTCATTTCTCTTTCTCTTACTTGGTTATGGAACAACACAATAGCAAACTCCTCACTTAAAATCAGCCTTTTACTCTGAAGCCACTTGATAGCCTTAAGCTATCTAGCTCTGATTAATTTCCATTTAGCTACCGATGCAAATCTGAAGGCAATCAAAAGGCAGGACCCTGAGTCCAGGAGCTGTTTGACACCCTTATAAGGTAGCAGTTTCCACCATATGAATAAGGAAAAGAATGAAGAAACGCAACAACAATCTATACATATCACTGAAGCAACAGCATTAACCTTATATTTCTGGCTCTCAATTACGCCCCAAATCCTAGACAACACTTCTCTATTATGATTTAAGAAGTATATTTCCCTATTACTAGGCACATAGGGAAAGCATTTTTGTGGGGGAGAGGTGGGAAAGAGAGGCCCTGCACAGAGGAGGCCCTGCCTTACATTTCAAGAAGCAGAAAAGGAAATTATCCAGCCAAGAAATGCTGTGAGACAGCTCTCCAGACCCAAACTGTGTCCGTGAGTGGGCATTACTTCCACGCCGATATGGGGGTACCTTCTGCCTCGTGCCACTGTGGAGGGTGGGGCTGCCCGCAGGTATTCAGGACACTGCCTGCTTACCACTCCCCATGAGGTGGGCCCACAAGAATGTCTACCTCCCAGGTGGTGTCCCAGAAGTATGCCCAGGATGAGCCCCGAGAGTCTCTGCTGCTCTCCTGGGAGTCAACCTTCTCATCCCACCTCCCTTTCATCCTCAATAATGGATTTCCCATTGTGCTTGGGGAAGACCGGGGCCTTGTGGCTTAGGGCAAGACACGTCAGCTTTGGGGGCACCTACACGCTGTAGGATTGCCCGAGGGCATCCAGCATGGTCCACATTGGGGTGAGGATGTGGGGAGTGAGCACCAATACACCGTCTGTCTTCAAGCAGCTCCAGGGTGGCTGGGCCGTGGTCACCACACACACAGGGCTTTTGGGAAAAGGAGCATTTGAAAATGCGGAATTTCCTGCTGGAAGTTACAACAAGAAATGAAACAGCAGGAGTTTGCTCTACTTGGTCGCCTCAGAGCAGCTGCTGACCAGCGCCTCCAGCCCCCAGCGAGCGGAAAGCAGCGCTTGCCCTGGGTAGGCGATGCTCTCATCCAAACCAAACTTCCCCTCGATGACTTCATTGAAAGCTGGTTTACATCATGAAGAGAAACTCCATTTATTTATTTGTAATAACTACAGGATTTGATGGACCCACAAGAGGATGTAATTTAAGAAAACATTAGCAAGCGATTCCGAATACCAAGGTTTTGAAACCTGCTATGCCAAGTACTCATCAACGGAAATATTTCAATATCGAGACTCCAAAGATACAGCAAGGCTCCTTTTGAGCAGGGCTCGGGAGGTGGAGAGGTTCTGAAATGTATG